GAGGCTGTTGAAAATACCATGCCTTGGGTCAGGTGCACCTTATCCTTCAAACTTTTATCTTTTCTCTTGAACACTGTAAAGAGGTCTTGTGCAGCAGATTACTTGACTGCTACTTACATGATTGTGGATCCAAACAAAATTAGGTCTTTGACAACTTCATTCTTTTCTCCGTTTATCATGATGTTGTTTATTGGTCCAGTGTTGGGAATTTTTGTTTTCTTTACATTCTGATGTAGCCCTTACTGAAGGACTTAAAATACTTATTCCATCAGGAAATATTTTAAGTCCTCTTCACCTCCAGCAAGCAAGGTTGCATCCTCTGCGTTTTGCAGGTTGTTAATAAGTCTTCCTCTAATCCTGATGCCATGTTCTTCTTTATATAATCTAGCTTCTCTGATTATTTGTTCAATGTACAGATCAAATAAATATTGTGAAAGAATACAACTTCGGTGCACACCTTTATTGATTTTAAAACATTGAGTGTTCCCTTGTTCTGTTAGAATGATTGCTTCATAGTCTATGTACAGTGTCCATATGAGCACAATTAAGTGTTCTGGAATACCCATTTTTTGAAATGTTGCCAATATCTTGTTATGGTCCACACAGTCAAAAGCCTTTGCATAGTCAATAAAGCACACACAGGTAAACATCTTTCTGTTATTCTCTGCTTTCAGCCCAATTTTATCTGATGTCAACAATGATATATCACGTGCCATGTCCTCATCTGAATCAGGCTTGAACCTCTGGGAGTTCCCAGTCAGTATATGGTTGCAGCCATTTTTTAAATTATCTTTATCAAGATGTTACTTGCATGTGATATTAAGGATATTGTCTGATGATTTCCACACTCCATTGGGTCACTTCTCTTTGGAATGGGAACAAATATGGATCTCTTCCAATCAGCTGGCCAGGTAGTTCTCTTCTAAATTTCTTAGCATAGATGAGTGAGTGCCTCCAGTGCTCCATCAGTTTGTTGAAAGATTTCAGTTTGTATTTCATCAATTACTGGAACCTTGTTTTTTGCAAATGCCTTCAGTGTACCTTGGTCTTCTTCCTTCAATACCTTTATCTCTTAATCGTATGCTACCTATTGAAATGGATAAATATTGGCCATTTCTTTTTGGTACAGTGACTCTGTATTCCTTCCATCTCCTTTCTCCTTTTGATGCTTTCTGCATCATCCAATATTTTGCCCATATAATCCTTCAAAACTGCAAGTCAAGGCTTGATTTTTTTTTTTTTTTCTTCAATTATTTCAGCTTGAGAAATGCTGAGTGTATTCTTCCTTTTTGGTTTTCTAACTCCAGGTCTTTGCACATTTCATTATAATATTTAACTTTGTCCTCTGGAGCTGCCCTTTGAAATTTTCCATTCAACTATTTTACTTCTCATGTCTTTTATTTGTTTTATCATCTTTGCACTGGAAAGTAAGTTTCAGAAACTTTCTGACATCCATTTTGGTCTTTTCTTTTCTTTCTTTTTTGATAATGTTTTATTGTGAATTATGTGATGGTTTACATGGGAGAACATTAGTTTTACATTCATCCTATCATAGATCATTTCACTGCCATGGTTACAGTCCCCTCATGCATCATCAACCAACCAAAGGGTATACACTGCAAGCCTGTCTTCCCTGCCCCTGTCATCAGCACACAGCCCCTCTCCCTCTCTGAGTCTAAAGTCCCCAGCTGCTCCTTCTCTCCACATCACCATCTCTGCCTCCATCTCTAGGGTCTTTGCTTCTGTGGGTAGGGTCCTGCTCTCTGCACTTCTCCCTTGATGGTCCCAGGGAGCTCTGCTCCTAGACTGCAATGTCAGTCACTCCCCTCCTTGCTACAAAATGTCTACCTTCACATTTACAATCCTCACAATCAGTCCAGATAACAATTATTCACCACTGTATCACAAGAGACCTATCGGTATTTCCTTTCATCAGCCCCGCCTAGACAGATTGGATACTACTCAGTGGAGATTTTACCTTTCTCCATGCCCTCTGGATCTAGGTTCCCTCTTGAAAGCTTGTAAACCAGTCACTTCTTGCCTTTGTAGCCCCCCACTTCCCATTTTGGGTAGCCAATGTCCAAGTTTCCCATCCCTGTCCTCTCCATGTGTGGAGCGGGTGGGAATGATCCTTGCTGTAAAGATTTGTACCCTCTTTTGAGCTACTGCTTCCATAGATGTAGGTCAAGTTTATCAAATTGTATCAGATTATTCTTTTTTTCCTCTTCTTTCTACTTCTAGTTGAGTGCTGATCATCCAGTCATTGAAGCCGGGTCAAGTGGGTATTATCTGCAAGTGTGGGTGTTCTTGTGCATATGCCCTCTCTTCTTATCAGCTGTATGCTTCACTCTCCACTCTAGTCCTCTGTGGCTATGTCACTGACTCTCAGCCCAAAAGTCCCCAGGTCTTGTCACATTGCTGGCCGAGCAGGTCTCCACCCAGGTTCACAGAAGTCTATTGAACATTGTAGGGCTTAGTTTGTAGCTTCATTTTGCCCTCAGTTCCCCTTAACGGTAACGAACATGGTCCCCAATCAAAGCATGTATTCCCATTGAGTCTTAGTCTTGGAAGGGGATATGTTCTGAGGGGACCCCACCACTTGCCTTGATGTCTCCTGGCCAAGCAACGTGCTTGTTCTTGTAGTATTCAGTTGGTCTGCCTATATTGTTTTGTATTTTTCCTGTCGTTCTTTCTTTCAAGAAGTGTCTTCTGTTTGTCTAGCTACTCCAGGTTGGTCGGCGTGTCCTTTCAAGTGGAAATTTCCCACCTCTAAAGATTCTGAATGCTATTCAGGATTGCACCTATGGTCTGATGTAATGCAGAGCCTCCATAGGAAGCCTCCTTTACTGGGCACGTTGTAGTCCCATTTTAGGTATTCCAATCAGTTATAGGCAGAAGATGGACTTACAAGCTTTCTATGGTGATATTTCTGGCTATTCCTTTCGCTCCCCTTCAAGTGTTTATTTGATAATGTTATGCAAGGGAAACCAAGATTCAAAAGACAGCCAAGCATCTTAACATTATTTCCCCCCTTTTTC